GGGAGGCTTTAACCTTCTGCTTCCAATATGCTCCAGAGTCAAATTATTTTGCTTTGACAAGAATCCTCCAAACTGGTACCAGCAGTAGCCATCCGTGTAATATGAGGGACAGGTCAGTCCTAATTTCATCTAGCCATTACTATTATTCAAGCTGGGGGAAGGGACTATTTTAGACATAGCCCTCTGCCTGCAGGTGAAAATCCACGCGTGAGGCACAACCAAAGCTTTATTTGGAAATCCTCGATGCCTCTTGTTGGCTGCTATGAAATTAAAATAGGCAAGCAGAGATTTGCCATTCAGCGGTGCAAAGTCCCCCCGCTGGGATGTCATCTGTTTTGTTGGTGTAAACTTTGTGTCGCCAAGCAAGACCTCACACAACACAAATGAGGAGCCAGTGATTTTCGGGTCTCCGTAGCTGCAGTGAACCTGAGATCAGCTGCCAATTGGGCCATTGCTATTCCCTGGTGCAGGCAGTTGTATAACTAATGTAAATGGGTCCCAGCCTGAAAGCTGCACAAATATTACTAAGAAAGACCTCACATGTGACCCAAGCATCTGTGCATTAGACCTACTTATGAGTTTCATGAAAATAGAAGAACTTAACTACTCTCTGCTGCCAAGCTGTTTTGTCCCTCCCTCATCAATCATCAAAAGACTCCAGAACAGCAGGGATTCTGCTGGGACTCCAGCCTTCTGCTTAAGCCACGGGCGAATAGGAGATAGTGTTCAAGATTGGGGTGGAAGGAGCGAAGATTTGGGGCAGTGATTGGCTCAAGAAACATTTCTGGAGATGGTGGAGGGGAATGGAAAAAGCGAGTAGCTCCATCTTTGTATTAAGGGTCACAGGCATATATAATAGCCTTCCCCAACTTGGTGTATTGAATATCTGTAATTCCCAAGCAGCATAGCATAGCCATTGAGGATTAATATCCGACACATCTGGACTTTTATTGACTTCCGTGACTTGAAGCAGCACAGGGAATGCCAAATTCTGTGATCATATTTTTTGCAGATAAAGGTCCTCACGAAGGGCATTTTTGAGAAACGCTGCCTTCAGAGCAGGCATTTTGTTTGCTGCGTGACATTCGGTCTTAGTCCCATCGTAGGTATTATGCAATATTTGGAATTTTTTTAGAAAGGAACAGGGAGGGGAAAAAAGCAAGAAAGTAGGGGTGTCTGGAGTTGAAAACCGGGGGAGGGGGTGAGAGAGAATTGGGAAAAGATACACAGAGTTTCCACTTCATACCCACCAGTGAGACCCCTGGTCAAGTTTCTTTTTGGTTACTGAAATCTCAGGGAAGCCCACTCCGTCCAAAATGATCCCAGAGCCATGAGGACAAAAAAAAAAAAAAAAAAACCTTGCTCCAAATCCACCTCTCAAAGATTCTCTAAAAAATTAAATTCCCTGCCAGATTCCCAATGTGCATTTATTGACTACAAAGGTGAAACTACTGCAGTCAGCAATGGCTGAGCCTAAACTAAGCAGCCTGACTTTGAAGCACTGATTAATTCTGATACGTGGCTTTCCTCTTAAGCGACAAGATACATTTCTTCCGATAATGGCAACGGCCATTATGCCCACCTGACTGTTGCCCAGAACAATGAATGCCAACCTGCTCCTTCTTTTGCATGATAATGTGTATGTATATGCAAGCTTTTGTGCATCCCTGGAGGTTGCTTCTGACATTGTCAGAACTGGGAAGTGGAAAGGCACTTATCAGTCCTTCTGGAGAGCACTGACTGCCACTTTTCATAGGTGTCAGGAGTGCAGCTGAATCTTTGCAACACACTCAGAAGCAAAGATCAGTTGTGCATCCCCACTTCCTTGATGCAGTTCAGTACAGCACCTGTAAATACCTTTCCCTCCTGAAAAACATTCAGGGGCTGAGGAACACCTGCTGGCAAGCAGCCAAATCTTCCCCTCCCCCTTCCCCCATGCTCAGGTCAATGTCTGCTTGAAAGGGGGTTTCTATGGAAACCCCAAGGCTGGGCACTGATGTCACTGCTCAGACTTTGTCTCGCACAACCCCAGCCGCGGCCATCAGGGCCAGCAGTGTCCCCCTAAGCGTGCTCACCCCTTTTTCTGTGACACTTGCCTGGCCGCTTGTTCTCTTTCTGACAGCCAGGTCTGGGGAGTCACAAGTTTCTGATGGGGATGCTGTCCTCCGAAGGAAAGTTGGGGCACTGAGGGCCCAGCCCAGCAAGTCAAAAGTTCCTAAAATAAGCGCAGTGCCTGAGAAATCAGCAGGAAGAAGGCAGAGGCAGATTTATGTAAGCTCTAAAGCAGACAATTCCATTCAAAAACCTTGATGCATTTGCTGCCCCGGGGGAATTGTGTCTGCTAAGTAAGTGTTTTAAAAGCGGGGGGGGGGGGGGGAGCTGCCTCTCCATCCACAATATCCTGGACTGGCAGTTTCTGAACTTCAAATAAATCCATTTTATACCTCCCCACAAATAGGTCTTCAGAATCCCCCACGGCTTCAGAACTTAGAAGGGAGCTTGCCTCCACCTCAACTCTTGACTTATCTTGTTTTGGGGCCTTGGAGGGAGTGGACGGCAGCATTATGGGTGGCTGAAGCTGCCCAGCGCGGTGTTGCTGGCAGCAGGAGAGCTAAGTGTGCCTGCAAAGGAGTGGCAAAAGTTCTGTGATGGGAGGCTCTTAAGCAGCTGCCTTAGGGGCATTTTGCTGTCCTAGATTCAAGCCATTGTTTTTTTTTCCCCCAAAGAGTCCTTGAGGGGGATTGGCCCTCCTTCCAGTTCAACACCATGTACACGTATGGCACTCAGCCAAACCCTCGCCAGTAAGAGATCTTAAAGGATGGGTTAAGAGAGTGTATGAGGGAAGGGTCTCGTTTCCCCCCACCCAGACCCTACATGTGTGGAGCCTGCTTTGCTGACCTGAGATCTAAGCCCCCACATAAGCTGTACTGTGTGGACACATTGCCTATAACTCTTGTGTTACATTTTCAGGGTCTCCTTCCCTTTGGATTTTGGTCTTTTTCTCCGTTCCTCGATGCCTGCTAGATGCATTGACTACTCCTCTCATAATCCCTAGCCGACACATCACTGGGGTGCCTGGTGATGGAAGTGCTACACTAGCAAATCTGCCAGAGACCAGGTAAGGGAAAGCCGGACTCTATAATTGCCCATTATTCTTTGTGCTGCTTTGTCTCTCATACCTTCCTTCCCTTCCCTATTTTTCCACTGTCTCTGGGCTTGCTACGCTTTCCTGGGTGGGGTGCGTGCAGGTGATGTATGTGCATGCATGTTTGCATTCCTGAACGTTGCTCGGTGTGCCTTTTTTTTTTGTTTTGTGCGATTCAATGTACCTATTGTTCGCCTATGTGTCTCAGCCTGCCTGTATTTGTTCTCTGCCTATTTTGTCCCATCTTTTGTGTCTCTTCCTGCTGGCTGCGGGGTCTCCGCTGCGCTGGAACAAGATGCAGGTGTCTTTTTTTGCACCGGGTCAGCCTCCTGGCCTGAATCCGGTCCTCAACTCGGGCACTGGCAGGGTCGTTCATGCTCCCCCCCCCTCTGCAGCAGAAGGGGCCCAGGGACAGCGCAGGGATTCCAGGCAGCTCCTCGGGGGGGACATTTGTCCAGAACAGAAATGCCGGTGATTGGCAGCCCCTGGCCTGCACCAGAGAAGCGCAGGCCTGGAGTCGGAAGCAGACGGGACTTCGGAAGCCCTTGGGAGTTCTGGCTCCTCCGCCAAGGTTTTGAGGGTGGAGGAAGAGGAGCGGGCCTTCCCTGCAGAGGGCAACGGCTGACTCTCCCAAATCAGCGGGGGTCCCTCCTCCCCCCCCCCTCCTTCCTCGCTCTCTTTCCTCCCGCAACGTGCGAACGAGTTCCTTCGCGAGTGAAAAGAAGAGGCGAGGCCTCCCAAAAAAAAGCAGCGGCAGCCAAAGGACGGGCGGGGACGGGGGCGTGTCGCTGTGGGTTCATTGACCTTGGGCCCCTCGCCGGGTGGAAGGTGGAGGGCGCGACCGGCTGGGCAACTCTTGGCTCTCTCTGTGGGAAGGCCGCTCGGAGGCCGGAGGCTCCCCTCGGTGCGCCGGCGGGGTTGAATTCGCCAGGGCCGCGAAGGCGGGAGGGCGGTGGAGGTAGCGGACGGGGTTCGGAGTAGCGGACCTGTTGGACGGACGGGCCGGAGGAGGAGGAGGAGAAAGTACGCTTGCAATGGGGGAGGGCGTCTCCCCCACACAGCCCCCTATTTGCCTACGGGCTGGTGTCCAGCTTTCCCTTCCCTGGCGGGGGGGAAAAAAGGGGGGGGGCAGGTGCGGGCACCAGCGCGCCCGCCCCCTTTCCCCCCCGAGTCTCCGCGGGCAGGTTTTCCCCAACCCGCTTTCGCCGGGAGGCAGGGACGAGAGGCAAGTGCGCGCGGCTCCGCCTGGCGGCTGCAGCAGCTCCCGCTCCCTCCCAGCGGAGAGCTTGTTTGCGTCTCCGGAGCTTGTCAGTCTGGAACCAGCTGTTGCTCCGTCCCTTCCCGCGGCGGATTCCAGTCCGGGTTTTGCAGCCCCTCGCTGGCTCTTTCTTCTTTCTCTTCTGCATTGCCGCGGACAAGGTGCTCGCCGCCAGCCCAGCGCTGCCTGGCAGGGAAGGACCCGGAGCAGAGCGGGCGAGAGCGAGAGACACGCACACGCACAGTCGCGCCGCGGCGCTCGGCCGGCGAGGGGGGTCTATGCGGCTGGCCGGCGCGGCTCTCCAGCGCTGGCTGCCGGAGCGAGCCCCCTGCTCCGCCCGACGCCCTCGCTTCCCCGCAGCTCGCCCCCCGAGCCCCGGCGGCGGGTCCGTCGGGCCATGAGCCGCCGATGGGGCGGGCGAGGAGCCCGCGGCGGGCTTGGGTGCTGAGCGGCCCTGAAGTGCCCTGAGTTCTTGCGGGGAGCAGCGCCGGGCGGACTCCAGCTGGGACAGACGGCTTCCCGCCCGCTCCCCTCCCTGCTTCCCCGGGACCGGGTCTCGTCCCGTCCTCCTGCCGTCCCCGCGCCTCCTGCCGAGGAATGGCTCGATGGCTGCGGCTGGGCGCCAGTGCCCGCGTGGGCACAGGGCTGTGGCAGGTTCTGCTGGCCGGCACCATCCTCACCAGCCACATCCACCCCAACGGTGAGTCAGAGCGGCTTTCACGCGCGGCAACGGCGGCGGTTTCCGTGGACAGCGGCTGCCGGAGAGCCTCGTGGGAGGGAGGGACGTCGGGCGGGAGGCTCGACGGAGAGGACGGTGCCCGGTGGAGGCACGGAGATTGACCGGGATCTCCTTTCGACGGGTTGAGGGTGGAAAAGGAAACGGGACCTGAGTTGGGAAAGGAGGCGGCGGCGGCGGCGGTTTTAGGATGCGCCGGGGGCGCCGCGTTGTTAGGCGAGAGGCTTGGGGAGACGGAAGCCAGCTCTTTCGGGAACCCTGGACTCCGACCGGAGAGCACTCGGTAGCACAAAGTGCAGCAACAAACTTTCAGCCTGGTTTTAGCCTTGCTCTGCAGAAAGGAGCCATTGGGCTCAATGGCATATGGATGCTGCTATCCGTTGCCCTGGGAGTGCCAAAGACTCTGCTTTTGCTGCTGCTGCTGCTGCTGCTGCAGCAGCGCTGTGTGTGCGAAGGCCTTGCTCGGTGTTTCTGCCCATTGCTTCTCTCCTACTGAGTCCTGAGGGAAGCCCACCCCCCCTTCCTTCTCCACCCCATGCCTACCTGATGGTCTGTTCCCCCCCCCCTCGCAGCTTCTTTGCCTTCGGTAGAATAACCTGCCTCTGGGGCCTGTGTCTCACTGAACTCCGACGATTCTTTTCTGCAAGGTGACTGAAGGATTTTGTGGAAAGAGGTAAACCAAAGTTTGCATGGCCACTCTGATCTCGGCAGAGCGACTGGAACCTCTGGAGATGCAAAATATGGAAGGAGAACTTCCAACAGTTCTTAGGGCAGTTTGCATCCAGGGGCATGCGAGAGAAGGCAAAGAGCTGGAAAGGTACAACTGCTTAGCCTGAATGACTGATTCTGTGATGGGTTCCCCAGAACGGTGACATTCCCTATCCTGGGTCCTGGAGAGACAATTACAGCTGTGAGAAGGGGTGCAGCCAAGGGGTGGGTGGGGGGGGTAAGTATTATGAGGGCAACAGAATCTCCTTCAAAGCTTTGCTAAGAAGTTCTCCACATTTTCCAATAGCAATGACCCCCCATGGTGCCAGCCATGGTATGACCAGACTCTTGATGCTGTTTCTAGTTCTACCATCAGCGCAGCCTGTAACAGAAACAAAGCAGCTGCACAATCCATGGGAAGCTTTCATTCTGAGAAGGGAGATGGTAGACTGAGGATCTCAAATTGTAGAGACCTTGCAAGGTCAACCAGCAGGTCAGGTGCAACGCATGGGACTGAAGCAAGATGGCTTTCCCAGCTCTTTTTTTCCCCAAGCAGGGTCCCAAAGAATTAACAGGAGACACAGGTGTACTCTCTGGCATTGCTGGGAAAGCCTCAACAGCTGAAAGATTTCCAAATGACAATTCCATCATAATGCAGCAAGGTCATATTGTAGCTCACATACATTCTTTGAACACGCTTTTTAACAGATCAGCCAGGTGATCTCCAGCTATCTTGGACTGCACGTCCCATAATACCCACTGGCCACGTTGAACAAGAATTCTGGGATTTGTTTATTGCAGCACAATCAGACACCACCAGTCAGGTGGAAAGATTGTTTCATAAGCTTTTGGGATGGTTAAATGGATGTTTCAAAAATTAAGGGACTATACACCCATCCATACATCCATACAAACATGCATACATACATACACTGAGATAGCATACAGCAAGACCTCATATCCCACACATGGTATCGGCACGCACAGATCTTCACATAGGCAAAATGTAATGTATACATATGACTATTGCATGATAATGAAATGTTTATTCATACATGTGCATAAGATTGCACACAGATACCTGCACACACACACAAACACACAGAGAACACACACAAATATTCCCAGAAATATTTGCAAATATTCCCAGAAATAATTAACACTTTTAGGCAACATGCCTCCAGTCCCATATGGCCCACAGACTAGCATGCCACGGAAACATTCAACTCTGTACATAGGCAGAACATCTGGCAGTAAAAACAGGCACTCTCTACAGACCACCCACTGCAAAAACAGCCCCTCCCCATTACAGTTTACAGCCATATAGTGGTTCTTTTCAAACTCTTCACATGCCACAGGCTGCTTTGAAGGATGAGGACAGGATCTGGCAGCAGAGAGGAGCATAAGTGGATACTGTTTGTCTTTTCATTCTTTTCCACTGATCGCAATGCCAGCCTGCAGGGAGCCAGCCAACTCTCCAGCAAAGTGGGAGGTGGGGAAGGGGTAGAAGCCTGCCAGCGCAGAGACATAATCACCCAAGGAAGGCCATAGGAGGGGTTAGTTCCCTGCTGAAGGCAGCCAGTGTCTAACCTGCCAGGAGACTGTGGATTGGACCCGCTGGCAGGATGTGAGGCCTGGAGAAGGGCAATTTAACCCATTTGCACAGTGGGGTGGGCAGCGGCAGAATATAGCCACCTAGTTGTGCTTTATTCCAAATTCACAGGAATCTAGGCCAATCAAAATGTCTCCATACCGTCCCCTTCTCCCCCCCACCCCAAGTTATTATGCTATTCTGAGAGCCTCAATGCCAGCCATAGCCAGGCACAGTGTAGGAGCTGAACTAAGCTCTGCTTGGCTAATTCCTTTTCATTCCACCTCTCTGTAGCCCCAAGTACCCCTTTACCTCGGATGCTCATAACTGCCCTTTGGTCTCATATACACTTTGTCCTTGTCTCAGGTTTTGTCCACAAACAAACAGACAAACAGTCCTTTATTGAAATCAATGACTCTTCACTCTCCTCATTCCAGTTTCCTTCCCAATTCTGTCACCAAGGCTTGTTCGTGGAACTGAGCAGCCCAATCACCAATATAATGCAATGCCTTATCTTTTTAATCCAGAATATTTGGCACTCAGCACATAGTTATTAAAATGAATTAAACTCCTGTTTATCATACAAGCATGCCTCAAACCCCGCCCTCCCCCAACCCTCCTTGTTTCTCTTAAGTGGCCCTGACTGATAGACAGATTAAAGGATATTCAAGAGTGATTAATTTGCCGTGGTATTGATCTTGGGTGGTAGTGGCCTTAAAGTAAAGGTGCATCAGACAAAGGTAGCTTTGATTGGCAACGTCAGTTTAGATGGAAAGTGTCCTGAGGCAACAGCTAGAGGAAAAAAAAGGATGCCCGAGTTGTTCCTGAGGTAACTTCTGGGGAAGCCAGAATCCTGTCATATTCCTGAATATTCTTGAAATATTCCTGAAATGTTTCTTGATTCAGCTTGAGTTGCCCTCTCCATCAGCAGCTGCCTTGGCATGCCTCTACCTCATCCCCTAGCACCCTAAGTTAGCTGTAAGTTAAACAATATTGAACCTCACTTTTCATGCAAAGTAGGGAAAACAACAGAGTGGCTCCGCTGCTGGCCTGTCAGTGCAATGTTACACAAAATTCTGGGAAGGAGCCATACTACGAACTGAAAGCCCAGGCAGGGCTCTTGATGTCTTCCAAAGGAGGATACCCTCCTAAGTAGAAACTGAATACATTTTTTAAAATATGTGACATCTGGTAACGCAGAGCCTTGCCTTCGTTTCCTTGTTCTAAATCCCAAGGAAGATGTCCCACATAAATTTCTCACAACCCATTCAGGCACAGAGTGAGCATACTTTCTCAGTCACCCAGGGAGAATTGTTGTGGTCAGGAGAAAATTTGAATCTAACCTTTTTTCTGGCCAAAGAACAATGGGGGAAGGTGTTTGAGGGGAAATTTATCCTCTGGGTGGGGAAGGAGAAAGCCAAGACTTGGGGAGGAATGCTCTGAGGCATATTCTCCATCCCTGATTTGTGATCACATTATCCGTATTCTGGAATTATTGCTAAGGATCCTGCTACATGAGCAAGCGCACATGGACACGTACACACACACACACACACACACACACGTTCCAAATAGAGTCAAATATTAATAGAATATTTGTAGCTCAGGATTGATTGGTTCTTGAGCACTGATATTATTACTTAGTTTGGATAATGAAACATCTGCAAGAAAACAACCAAGCTCAGAGAGCACCAAGGACCCCTCAGAGTCAAATACTATACTCTGAAAGCATTCACAATCCTATAGCTAGACAAGGAAAGTGCCAAAGGTCTTTCTCCACCTCCACCCACCTCCACGATGGTCCCATTTAATAATAATAATAATAATAATAACAACAACAACAACAATAACAACACAACAACAAAACAACAACAACAACAATAATAATAATGATAATAATAATAATAAGTTGGAAGGGATCTTGGAGGTCATCTAGTCCAACCCTCTGCTCAGGCAGGAAACCCTATACCATTTCAGACAAATAAAGAATTTCAGCTTCCCTTTCATGGTTCTTCATGTGCCAGCATCCCAGAAATAAAGAGGCATGCCAAAAGTAGTCTCCCCCTATCTAGTGCTGTCTTGAAGTGTTAATCTACAATTCCCATAATCCATACCTAGCAAGGCCTACACATTTGGAAACAACATTGCAGAATATCTAGAAGGTTGGAGAAGGCTATCCTAATGGAAAGTTCGTATCTGTGAACAGGGGGCCTAACACCCTTTGTTCAATGTGCCATAAGAACATGGGGAACATTCAAAAGTGCAAGTTATAATATTTCCTTAAAGAGCTTCAGAACTAACAGCATCATAGAAAGGTTGGGATGAGGTATAGTTTGAGATTTGGCTCATTAGTACAAATTTCTCTGAAGTAATCCACCCAAAGGATGGGTGTTAAGAGGGTTATCTTGTACTGTAATATTGTCTCTCTCCCAGTGCCTTGAAGGGCCAAATGTGTCTTGGATTAGCCATCTCATTTTGGGGGACGACCAGCATATACCCTTTCAGTCTCTTCTGAAACTGATATAAAACCTGCCAGCCTGTTAAAACAGAAAGTTGAATATGATGATTCCCATTCTTTAAAAATACGTAAAGAAAAGGAAGGCAAGCATCTGGGCTTGTTTGAGAGTTCTCTAAGGGTCAGTTGTGAAAAATACAGATGAAATTT